TCATTTTTGAGAAAAATGTATTTTGAAATATTTATTTTTTGGAGAATGTATGATTAAAAAAATAAGATTTTTTTTTTTTTTAAAGATTTATGTGTAAAAAATTATTTCAAGAAAGAATGTATGATTGAAAATAACTTTTGAAAAAATAGAGTCCAAACATGAGTTTTTTGTAATTTCTTGTAGACAGCATCCTCACCATGGAGTGCAAACAAGACGAAAGTTTAACTGGGCACAAGTTTTTTTTTTTTTTTTTTAAATTTAATAATTACAAGGCTCATTGTCATGGTTTGAAGTTGTACGTTAATCATACAATCGATCAGCTAATAATCATAATTGTAAAGATGAAATATTTATCGATGAAATCATATGGTTGAAGTTGCTTGGCACTTCGGTTGAAAACGAGCCAAATATTTTGTTCTCCAATTCGAATGATACTTGAGTTCGGTTTATGATGTCATGAAACAGTTCATTTTTCATGAATATGATGACGACAACGAGAATAGTACATAAATAATTTATACAAATATAATTAATTTTCTTAGTCGACCATTCGAAATAATTATTGGAGTTGGTTTTACCGATGATCACGTACCACCACTCAAAAGGCCAATTAAGCTCACCCATGTTCACTTACGAAACTATCGGACTTGTTTCTTGCCTTTTGTTTATAGAAAGCGGGTTCATGATGTCAAATGACAAGATATATTATTTGAGGGGTGTATTCAATTGAGACTTTTGAAAATTTGATGGATTTTTTTTAAGTGATGACTTCTGTAGATTTCGCGAATTTTTTTTAGAGAATTGTATGAAATTAGTGGAAGTCTTTTGTAAACTTATAGACTTTTATTTTAAAACTTTTAGAGATTTTTTGTAGAATTCAAAAGATTTTTGAAGGCGTTCATTTGATATGGAATTTATGTGGATCTAGTTCAATATTTTAAAATTATCACATACGAGGTTGTGATTCTCACAATTCTCCTTCTCCTTCTCCTTCTCCTGCATTTTCCCCTAGTATAATACAAGAATATTTTAAAAAAGATAAAATTTAAAACATTAATTAAATAAATAATAATTATTATACACATAAAAAATAAATTAAATATTCAGTGTTATTAATATAATATAGAAAATGAAAAATATAAACTAATACAATCCATAGAAAAATTAAATTTTAGTCATGACTCTAATGTTAGTAAAAAGGAAAATGAAAGAGAAGTATTGAAAAAAATACAAATTAATTTTTTTTTTTTTTTTGTGAAAGTCTCCCAAAAATCTTGTGATTAATGAGAAACAAATTTTGAGATTTTATTTTAGTACTTTCTACTTAAAAATTAGTTCCATGGAGACTTTTATAAAAATCTCTAAAAATCATAAACATTTGAATAACTCGAGATATAAGAGACTTCTAAAAAGTTTTAATTAGGGGGTGTTTGTTTTTTATTCTCAAATTCTACAGTAAATCAATTCTCATTTTCAATCACACATTTTTTAATAAAATAATATTTTCCATCACATCAATAATTTTTTTTTCTTTTTCAACCTCACATTTCTCATCATATCACTATTCAAAAATCAATTCTTCCCCCAAAAATTCCTACCAAACAAGCACTTAAATACACTGTGACTTTTAAAAATTTATAAAAGTCTCAATTGAATACACCAATACTTTTAGAGAGTTTTCAAAAGTCTACGTTGAATACCCCTCAACTTTTTAAATTTCAAAAAGACATTAAAAGTTTCAATTGAATACATCCCCTCAATCAATTAATGAGTTTGCATATTGGAGAGATAAAGCAAAATGTGTAAAACATGGTTTTGGATTCTAAATCTCAATCAGTTACTTTCTAATAGCAAAGAAAACACATGGTTTTGGATTCTAAATCTAACAGTTATTTTCTAATAGCAAAAGAAAAAAAAAAAAAGGAAGTTCACCGATGAAAATGCAACACGTATAAAATCGAACCCACTTTTCGGTTTCATTAAAGGAAAATCTTTTGGGACCTTATCCTTGGGTTTAGTGGGGTACCTCAAGTCAAACCACTAGAGACGGACAGTAATGTTAGGTTAGCTTGGTAAAATTTTTCAAAAGTTAAAATTATTTTAAGATTAAAAGGTTAATTTAAATATATTTAAATATTTTTTTAAATGTATTTTGTCTGATTTATGGAGCTTTTTAGAGAAATTGATCTATGAGCGGCCTTGATAACATAGATAAAGAAACCTGTCGACCAACTTCAAATTATGCGAAGTGGAAATTACATTTCAGCTGAATTTTAAAGACCGCTATTCTTAAATCACGTACGAAGTTTATTTGAGCAAAAATAATGTATTCAATCAAAATTACTCACTTTCTTCTCATCGGTCGTTGGTTTCTCTCTTCATTGGTATGAGCGTCAGTGATGCTCTGATCCGACGAAGCTCAATCACCACTACACGCAACGGCACAACGACCAATTCCTCGGCTCAGTGCTTTTCGTCTATTGAGCTTCAATTGAGTGCTCGCCGTTAAACTCCTGCTTGGTGGTCGTGGGTTAGAGAGAAACTTGTGCAAGATTTTAGGTGATGGATGTGGTTGTGGTTTGGTTAAGGAGGTTATGATTTTATATTTGATATGGTGGTGATAATGGTGGTTGTGGTGGAGGCGATGCTTCTGCTTTTAAAAGGGGCAGGCCATTAGATGGTTTTGTTGTTGGTTTTGCAAATGGGTGTAGTGGTGATGGCCATAGATAATGTTTGTAGGTCACATTTCACAATCTACAGTTGGTAATGATAAGTCATAAGTCACACTACCAGTCACATGTCATTTTGCATAGATCGTAATTAAATATAAATAGGTCACAAATTAAGTAGATCTGGTCACAGTTTGACATATGACCTTTGAATTATAACCTGTGACGTGAATATAAATAAGTGATTCATGGCCAATTCTATTTAATCTCAGTGTCAATAGGTCACATATCAAATAGAATTGGTCACGACTCACTAATTTATGTTCATATATCACAAGTTATAGTTCACAGGCTCCATGTTAGTTCAAGTCACAAATCATCATTCCCAGGTCAAATGTCATACTGTATAGATCACATATTAGTGTCAGGGGTCACATATCATTTTGCACGGCAAGAAATCAAATTCTACAAGTCGCAAATCTAAGAGAATTTGTCACATGCCATTAGATCAATATCACAGATAACTTATCAATGTCTTAGGGGTAACAGGTCGCATGTAACATGTCACACATCAAAGTGCACAAGTCACATGTCATAAATTCAAGAGATCTGGTTACATGCCATTGATTTCTTTGACCTCAGTTTTTCGAATTGGTCACAAATTCAATTAACTAGATTTCGACTGTGAACATTGAAGTTATTTGCTCTGAAGGTGCTGTTTTTCAATTCAATTTTAAAAATAGTTTTAAATTATACCATCATCGTTGAGTCGCCGTTGAAGAAGATGATCTATCGCTGACGATGCTTAATCGATGTTCTCCAACGGATGCTATGTTTTTCCCTCTCTCTTTCAAGCCAGTGATGCTCATTCACTGTTGAGCGACGATCAGTTGGCCGCTAAAGAAGTCTTCGATAGGGTGAATGTCCGTGAGTGGATGCCGAGATTGTAAAAGAGCATAGTGGTGGACGGGTGCGCTGGTTGTTTGGTGGGGTGGATACCAGTAGATTAATTTAATTTGATAATATTATTATTTAAAATTAAAATATTGAATTAACACCTGACTTTTACAATTTTAAATTTAATTTCTGAAAATTGATTTAAAACATACTTAATACCTAATTTATGATTTTTTCCCCTTGTGCCAATAGTTTGACCCATTTACTCTTTCTTTTATTGGGTCACCAAAAGAACGTCCAATTTGTACGATCTCCCTTGTCCCATGTCATCACACTGTTTGTTTGAGTTACATTAAAATTTTTATTTTTATTATTCTATTCATTTTCAGCCACACATTTTTCAATAAAATAATATTTTTCATCACATCAATAACTTTTTCTTATTTTCAACCACACATTTTTTTATCAATATACTATGTTTAAATACATTCTTTCAAAATAATATCGCTAGAATACACCGAAATCCTCCCCTTCCCCTTCCCCTTCCACCCCACCCCACCCCACTTCCTATAAATTCACGATTCCTTCTCTATTTCTCATCTCTAGACTCTAGTTCGTATGAAACCCAGAATGCGAACGCTAAAACTAATCCTTTCTCCTTCTCTCTTCGAATTGCTCATGAAACCGTGTATGAATTATACATGTACATCAGTACATCGTATGACTAAAGTTCTTGCGATTTTTACCTGATAGTTATTTGTTGAAGGGTGATAGATTAGAGAGAAGATGAGGATTTTTAGGACCATTAATTCTTCGGAGTTCCCAAATCGGTCTGGATTCTTGGTTGTGGAAGCTTATCCCAAAAGGTATTCTTCGAAAATCCCCTCTAATTTGGTGCTGTTCCTGGGCCTTGGATTCATAGATTGGTAGAACTCATCCAACTAGTATTATATCTCGATATAGATTAAGAACTACTCAGATTCTGTTACAGAAAGATCCAGCTTTTATGTATCTATCAATTAGGAATTTATGTTAAAAAGGCTGGGTTTTATGGTTTGTTTTACTGTATCCCACCTGTCTTTGGAGGAACGAAGAGATTCTTGGGTTATGTTTAGATATAGTCTTCGTCTAGCTGTCTCTTGTTCTTCTTAATATATTTTATTGTCCTTCTTTCTTGTTCTTGATTCGGGAAGTAATCGGATCTATACATTTGTTTTCCCTTTGATTTTTAGATTTTAATTTAGTTGTTGGGAAAATTAAGGTTAGGATAAATAAATTTAGGGTTTTGATCGAGGTTATGGTTGAAGCTTGTATTGACATGATGGAGGTGTTTATAAAGCTTAGTTGTTTGTCAAAATAATTTGAGGAGGAACAAAATTCCAAGACCCTGGAATAGTTTGTCAGATGGAATATACTCTTGTCACAGCTTTGTAAATGGAGAATCGTCAACCTTCAACCCTTTTGTCCATGTATTTAAGTGGCTCAGCATGTGAAGAATTAGATCTCGAGATGAATTGCCAAGTTGTTTTAACTCGTCCGCCAGATATCAATTTACCGTCTTTAACCGAGCAAACACTCCCTCCACAATCTTGGAATGCTGAAAAGTGTGATATTCTTGATGTTGGACTAAGTTCTCAAATTTACGAGAGTGATAGTTTTCTAAGTTTTCCCAAGGTTGGGAAGAAATGTGGTAAAAGAATCGATAATGTATGGGGTGCGTGGTTCTTCTTCAACTTTTACTTTAAGCCAGTCCTGAATGAGAAATCAAAGGCGAAGATCATACTTGACAGTAACGGAGTTTCTGGGTTTGATAAATCTGATGTTGAGCTCGAAGTTTTTATGGTTCAACATGATATGGAAAATATCTACATGTGGGTTTTCAAGGAAAAACCCAAGAATGCTCTGGGTAAGATGCAGCTACAGAGTTATATGAATGGGTTTTCTCGTCAAGGGGATCGACCCTTTCCATTTAGTGTTGATAAAGGTTTTGTTCGATCCCATAGGATGCAACGTAAGTATTACAAGGGACTGTCTAACCCTCAATGTGTTCATGGCATTGAGGTTGTTCCTTCACCCGATCTCACAGGTCTTGATGAAGATGATCGCAGAAGATGGGCAGAACTCACGGGTAGGGACCCAAAGTTCACCATCCCACCTGAAGCAAGCAACTACGGATCATGGAGAAATCTGCCAGCAACTGAGTTCGAACTTGAGAGGCCACCTCCTCCAATAAAGAGTAATCCACATTCCCGCTCAAAAAAGTTGCTCAACAGATCTGCACTAAGTCTATCGACTCAGCCAGCCGACCATAGCAATGGTGATCTGATTGATCTATCACCTGTTGGCAGCAAGAGAAAGAAAGATTTCGTCTCACTTGGAAACGAAGATGATTGTTATTTTGCAGTAAGTGCACCTTCAGATCGAATCTCTGATATGGAAATTCATTCTGACAAACCACTCTGGCTGAAGGAATTTAGTGGAGTTCTCGGGAACGTTTATGGACCTGTAACTGCTGCCAAAACAATCTATGAAGATAAAGAAGGTTTTCTGATTGTAATCAGCTTGCCATTTGTAGATCTTCACAGAGTTAATGTTTCATGGAGGAACACACTCACTCATGGAATTATCAAGGTGTCGTGTACAAGTTTGTCCGGCACACCATTTATCAAGAGACAGAACAGGACTTTCAAGCTTACAGATCCATCACCAGAGCACTGCCCGCAGGGAGAATTTGTTAGAGAAATCCCACTTTCTACCCGAATTCCAGAAGATGCTAATATAGAAGCATACTATGATGGGCCACAAACAATACTCGAGATTTTGGTGCCAAAACTCCGCGAGGGACCAGAAGAACATGAAGTTCGTGTTTGCCCTCGTCCCAACCACGGGAACAACAATCTTATGTTGACCTAGGACTTGTTTGGTGAAATGCAAGGTTTATTTGTGTTATGGATGATGTTTCATTGTTCAATGTTGTAATCCATGAAACCCAATATGCACCAGATATTTGTTCTGTTTTTTAGCGCTAATAAATGTGTAAAGGAAACAATAATATTAATAAACATGTATTAGCAATCTTTAGTATTTAATATTCATAACATTATAGCAAATAAACCATGATTAAAATGCACTTTTGCAACTTTTTTTCCTTTAGTTAAAAGGCTAGCAATATGGTAAAGGTGCACTCTTATTAGGATTAACACCTTCTTAAGAAAGGGGGATTATTATAATTAATTGATAGAGTGTATAAATAATTTGTTAATGATTATTATACAATGGGGATTGTTAAGCACAAATACACTCGTTACCCTGTTTCAAGCCCGAAAGAGAGGCAACACGACTTTAGGACATCGTTTTTGACTTGACTCCCTAAAGCTTGCTTTTCAAACTCTCTATTTATAATATATGTTCATGTTATTGTTGTGTTCTTATGCTTATGATTATATAGTTGAATTGTATTTTTATGTTATTTAAAATTTTTGTGTTATTTGATGATTTATCTACACACAATTGTTGGAAAAATGAGTGATTTGTGTGTAGTTTATCAATTATCATTAGTCAATAAACAATAATATGAAAAGTACAAGTTAATAACTAAAATATTAAAATAAATATAATAACATAAATAGAGAAAGTTAAAAAGCAAGTTTTAGGGAGTCACGTCAAGGACAATGTCCTAAAATAGTGTTACCTCCCTTCATGTATATATTTTCGGCACTACATGACTCCAATATAAAATTCACGTTGCTCACAATTGATTCTCCATCTATGAGCATGACACAGGAAAATAAAGAACGAGTCTTTATCAAATTGCCAAAAGTATGAGAGCATAAAATGTACAAGGAAAACTTTCGAGTTGTTTTTAAGATATATTAAACAATGAAATCTAATCACCTTTTATAGCTAAAATTTCAATCCCCACATTTATACCATTAAAATATAAGTTATAATATGTATTATAATGTTTACATTTTTACATTAAAACTCAAAATTAAAAAGGTTTTAAGTTTAAAAGGTTGAAACTTAGTGGAGATCCACCTAGACTTGTCCAATAAATAATTAATTGGATAAGTTTAGATGAATCCCACTACAACCTAGAATCTATTTAGATTGGTGCTAAGTACCAACAATGCTAGATAATATTATTGTAGAAAAATACACAACTTGGGTCACATGACTTATTAACTAATAGCCGTGAGGGCTAAGAGACTAGTACACGTCTCACGTGTCCAAGAGACAATTGTATTAGCGTGTATTTTGAAGGTAACGTACTTGGAGGGTAAATATGCTTTTCATCAGAGTTCATTCGGCACAGTAACTGTGAGTATAACTTTCTAAAAATATAATCTACATTAAATTGACTGTTTGTCGCATTATAATAATTAGTGGCGGATCTAGGGAAGGAATGGATAGGGCTACATTAACCGTGTCAGCCCCAACCTCAACCCGGCTTAGATTCGCATTCAAACATTTTTTTACAATAGTCCGCGTGCCCATTATCCGAAATGAAATTACAACTTAATCCATTAGCCCACCTTAGAGGGTGTTTGGTGGGAATTAAAATTAGATTTTTAGTGAATTGTGATAGAAGTTTTTGAAAACAGTAAATCAACACCAATATGATAACGGAGAAACCCCAATTGGGTAAAAATTTCGGGACCAAGCCAGTTACCTCAACTATAGACAATATGTGTTACAGTTCAATTCCAAACTAATTCTACTAGCTATTGTAAAATCCAAGATCTGCTGCTCATTCCAGCCTTGCGATCTGCTACCGGAGATATAGTCTAGCCAACCCGTTAGATCTCCAAATCTACCTCCTGTAGCTTCCAAGTTCTGCTGTACTTATAGACTCACAATCTTCTACCAAGATATGCTGTAGCTGTCTCACATTCTTCTGCACACGTCTCTTCCAAGTGGATACCTAAGAACCTCATGTTCTTGTGCTATACATGTGCTTGCAGTGCACCTTTTTCAAATCCCAATGAAAGAGTTAGTTTCTTAAAAGATAAAGGACGCTGGTGTTTTTGATTATGGAACCTTTGATATTTTCCAAAATCGGGTTGCTGGATCTCAAGAAATAAGTTGATGAATCTCTCAATGATTTGCCTCTTGGATCTCTTTCAAATATGTTAATGAATCTCTCAATGTAAGAACAATGTAGCAACCACAATGAATTCGTCCACGGAGCCTCTATTTATAGTTGAACCTGTTTTGGAGACTTAGACCGTATAAAACTCATCAATAAACGCGATTTCGGTTTTCCATATACAACAGTTGCTCGAGCGAAACCACTTTGTCACTCTTCGCTTGACCGACGTAAGAGCGAACAATACATCGCTTGAGCGAGCGGCTGGTGAAAGTCGAGCGAAGACTGTTCTGTTTCAGTCGCTCCAGCATGCTTCCCTCGAGCAGCTAGCCAAAATGCACCGAGTCTTCAACCTAGTTCCAAGCATAAAACCTCGAACCTTAGGCTAACCCTACCAACTATGAAACTTTACAATAGAGTCTCTAAAATTTTATAATTGTTCAAGTTGGTCCTTTTGTTCACAGAATCGCTAATACAATATATAAACCTAACAAAAGTCTTGAGCCTGCTTCTCTAACACACTGGCCTCTCCAGCCTTGCTATCTGCCTCCCTTGCTCTTCTCGCTAAAATAATAGCTAATATGACGTTCGTTCAATTGAGTTTAGTTAGCTGTTGTACCATCCACTACAGCCCACGGTCTTCCAAACCTTCGCAAGATGATACGGAAAAAAGGTGTTCATGAAAATATATTTCGAATTAAAACCACCGCAAGTGTAAAGTTCCTTAACAAGTAATAAAGTAGATTTCGAGTCCAAATATCGTCCCACAGAGATTGATTTAGTTCGATTTTAATTATAGCGACCTTAACCGAAACGAGAATAATGTGAAGTGTTTGTTTGTGACCAAATTATGAATAAAATAATCCACTTATGCAATGATTTGTAACCTAACTAACTTAAATGCAAATTATTCTAAATGCATATTGATGTATTTAATAAATGACAAACATACTAGGATCCTGAATTCTCATGCAATAATCAGTTTTAACCATAGTTTTACACATTTAGATGCAAATTATTCTAATTTTATTTAACAATCTCTCTTGAATAACGTTAAACCTACTTTTATATATGATCCAACTATATTTTTATGATGGATATGAACAGATACAAGTACATGAGTTCTTATGAACACATAAAGATTCACATAAAGTATAGTGGTTTATTTTTATCCGCTATCGGACCCTATGACAATTTATATATGTCAAACATATTTTTCTTCTTTCAAATACATAAAATAAGCCAACAAATTTACACAACTACCGAGCACAATAATTGTGGAGAAAAGAAAATCACGTAAACCACTAAATAGTCAAAAATGTGTTTCTAATATCAAACATATAAAACTAAAGATTAAAACTCATATTACATGGCTCATCATTCTCCTAGCACAAAGAAAACTAGCATAACATGTTATGAAAAAAAAAATAAAAAAAAAATTGAAAAATCGACATCACCCAAATAATGCTTGGCTTGAATCTTCGAGTCTTGGAATCGATCTTCGTGTTCTTGCCTCCTTCTTTGCTCTCAAACTCTTTTAGAATGTGTTATAATGTGTGGTGCCCAGTTCTAGAAGGCCCTAGATTTTTAAAAGATGCCCCAAAATTTGTTTTCATAAGAGTTTTATTCAAATAAGGAAACCAGAATTTTTCTTTCGAAAACATACTATGTGACCGCATAGTATACTTCCACATGACCCCATAGTTCAATGAAATTCACTCTTTCAATTCCCTGAATCTAACCATGTGACCACATGGTATTTACACTATGTGACGACATAGTTTAAAATAAAATGCACAAGTTTCGTTTTAGTCTGTGAACTTCGTTTTCTCGTTTCTTGATCTTCTTCTTCTTCTTCTTCTTCTTCTTCTTCTAACATTTCATTCCTTCGTTCAGTTGGTTCTTGTTCTTTCACGTCTTCATTTCTTCTTCCGGGTCATCTTTTCAATATTTGCACGTTGGTCCCTAAACTTTGATTTTCTTCCATTTTAGTCATTTTTTTTCCTTCTTTTACCTAAATTCCACCGTGTTCATCAATGTTATCCTATAAAACCATATTTCAATATATCTGCCAACAATTATCCATATTTCAATCTTATTGTCTCTACTACCCCACAACTGACACATCTCTGCTATAAATCTCTATTATAAAAATACTAGTAGCTTCATGGAATAGAACCCCTATGGCTGCTTTCTCATTTGAATGTAAATGATACAATAATAATAATAGCAATAGCAATAGCAATAGCAATAGCAATAGCAATAATAATAATAAATCTGATTCAGCAAAGAAAGGCAGGGATACTCTAAGACAACACAGAGGCTACACTTCGTGACAACCTTCTATCTAACAAAACAAAACGCACAATATTATATATATTAACACCCTTGGGTCAAACTCAGGACGAGTGAGTCATCAAGAGTTTGCCCAGAAAGTGACAAAAACAAGCTTTTGATTTGGTTAAGAAATTTGCAAGTTGAGATGAGGAAGACGTGATGAAGAGAAATGAGTCCGCCAAGTAGAGATGTCACACTATCAGATTGGTACCTCATTGTGGAATGTTGGAAATATTGTTCAAAATTGATAAAAAAACAATTGTGAATGATATGGAATGGAAAACATTCTTAAATGCCAAATTTTGGCCTACGTGGTCGCATATGCCAAACTTGGCCCTTATTTGACTGTTTGATCAAAATTTGGTGGCTTTTTGGAGAGTTTTTGGCACCACTTCGTATGACATTGTTTCCAGGCTATATATAGGTGGTTTGTGATCAATAAAATTAATTGAAAACATACAAAAAAAACTATAGCCACATTTTGTGAAAATAAATCATTCCAAAACATAGAAATTTATACTTTCTTCTTCATATCCAAAAAAAATAAATTTCTTTAGTGTTCTTGAGTTTTAGATGATTACACTTATTGCTTGAGTATTAATCCTTTAAAGGCTTGTTTAAATCTTGCAAACCATTTGCCAAAATCCTTCAAGCATCATTTTCAATTCGAAAGGAGGCAGATATAGTTTGAGGACAATGAACCGTGTTCAAGCCATCGGTATTTGTTGTTCACATCCATTTCCTGGTTTGGTGTTTGGTTAGTGGCTTTCATTGGTGATCTTCAATTTTCTGTTTTGGGTTTGTTGCTTTGATCTCCATTCCCTTTGGTGGACTTCATACTATTTACCAACAATCTCAAACTATATTTCTTCAATGGAGAACAAAAGCACGGTGGCAAGAATCAAGTTGACGAATCAAGACCTTGTTTGGTTGGATCATTTCGATGGCACAAACTTCACAAGATGGCAAGATAAGTTGTCATTTAATTTATGGGGTAAATCGTTGTTGAGTGCTTGTATGATATTAAATATGATTCTTTCTAAATTTATTAAGATTTCTCCTTACAAATTGTGGAAAGGAAGAAAATCGAATATTGGATATTTCAAAGTGTGGGGGTGTCTTGCTTATTGTAAGAACACGAACCCCAACACGACCAAGTTAGGTCCAAGAGATATCAAATGTGCCTTTGTTGGGTATGCTAGCAACAACAAATCTTATCAATTGTTGAACTTTGAGTCCAATGTAATTATTGAATCTAAAAATGTAGAGTTTTTTGAGAATTCATTATCTTTAGATAATGAATTAAGGGAAATTAATAAAGAAATTCTCGGCTGTAGTGGAACACAAGATGAAACATCTTCTAAAAATATTGATGAATCTAGTGAAACTCAAAGGAGGAAAAGAACTCGAATTAAGAAGTCTTTAGAATCGGATGAAATTAACTCTCAACTTATTTCATTTTACTTAGTAGAAGGAAGTGAGAAGAATGTTGTAAGAACAATTCATTTTGTTCTACAAGTGAAAACCGATCCTAAAACTTATAAAGAAGCCATGAATTCTCGAGATAACATTTTTTTGGAAAGATGCAGTTAAGGATGAAATGGATTCAATAATGTCTAACAATACTTTGGAACTTGTCCATACCACCCGAATCCAAACCTATTGAATGTAAATGAGTGTTTAGGAGAAAGTATAATGTTGATAGTTCTCTTAATACCTTTAAAACTAGACTAATAGCTAAATGTTATCGACAAAAGGAAGGAATAGACTATTTTGATACTTATACAACGGTAGCTAGAATAACATCAATTAGAATATTATTTGAATTAGCTTTGATGTATGACTTGCATGTTCATCAAATGGATGTCAAAATGACATTCTTGAATAAGGGTTTCGATGAAGAGGTTTATATGGAACAACCTGAAGGGTTTGTTCTACCTGGAAATAAACGTAAGGTGTGTAAATTAGTTAACTCATTATACGGATTGAAACAAGCACCTAAGAAATGGCATGAGAAATTTGACTTGGCTATTATATCATTTGGTTTTGAACGTAATAGTGTAGATAAATGTTTATATTCTAAAGCATGTGTTGATTATGTGATATTTATTTTTTTATATGTTGATTATGAGTAATCACACGGATGAAATAAAAGAAACGAAGAGGTTTCCATTTTCTACATTCAAGATGAAGGATTTTGGAAAAGTTGATACCATTTTGCGTATCAAAGTTACTAAATCTAGTGGGCGTTATCATTTAAATCAATCACACTATATCGAGAGTGTGACAGATAAGTTCAAACATTTGAACATAAAATCATGTAGTACCCATCTTGATCCAAGTTCAAAGCTAATAAAGAATGAAAGAAGAGAAATTGCTCAACTAGAGTATTCAAGTGTTATCGGGAGTCTTATGTATGTTGTTCAGTGCACAAGATTGGATATAGCATTTTCAATTAGTAAACTTAGTAGGTTTACTAGTAATCTGAGCAATGATCATTGGAAGGCCATTGGAAGAGTTCTTAAATATTTTAAAAAAAACCAAGAACTTAGGTCTACAATACACTAAGTTCCCAACTATATTGGAAAGATTTACATATGCCAGTTGGATATTTAGCACGGGTGAAAGTAAATCTACTTCTGGTTGGGTGTTTACTCTTGAAGGTGGTGCTGTTTCTTGAAAATCAAATAAACAAACATGTATTACACACTCAACTATGGAATCTGAATTTGTAGCATTATCAGAAACCTGGAAAGAAGCTGAGTAGCTTAAGGATCTACTCTATGAGATACCTTTGGGACCGAAGATTACATCTTTGATATCTATCATGTGTGATAGTCAAGCCACACTAGCAAAAACATACAATGAACTATATAATGGAAATTCTAGAAATATGAGTTTAAGACATGACTACATAAGGAAATTAATTAAGAGTGGAATAATTTCCCTAAATTATGTTAAGTCAATAGAGAACTTAGCGGATCTATTAATTAAACCTCTAAACAGAGATTTAGTGACATCTAAAATAAGGTTGAAACTCTTGAACTAAAAGGTCCATCAATGATAGCAACCCTACCTATCATTACTCAACAAGTAATCAACGGGTTCAAAGGGTAACAACAAGTCATTCGATAGATGGATAGTTTCAGCATTATGTAATATGCAATAACCTTATTCTAATTAAATAATGCTGGCTGTTACTGAAGTAAGGGTTGAACATTAAGCTCTTAATGGAGTTCAATATTAAGTACAAGCATCTCTAAAAAGTAATAAAGATACTGGCACTACACCAAAAAAGGGCTTTTGCAATGGCCAAAAAACGCTGCAAAAGCCCTTTTGCAGCGTTTTTTCAAATGTTGCAAAGTGCAGTGTTGCGAAAGAGGGAAGGGATACGGCAACGTTTAAAAAACGTTGCTAAAGGTCTACGGCAACGTTTAAAAAACGTTGCGAAGTTTCACAACGTTTTTTAAACGTTGCCGTATACTCTTTCGCAACGTTTAAAAAACGTTGCCGTAGACCTTTTTTTTTGGTAATTGAGTAATTGATCTAGAAAATTAAAATAACACTTTGTGAAACCATTTTGGAATTGCATAAAAATTGATAATTTTATTATAAATTTTTGAATCAATACAAAATTCGAATGTGATACAACACAACCTATCGAAAAAGGAGTAAGATGAACAATACAATTGTTTCATCCATCATTCCACTAACTAGATTGCTGGAAGAAGTAGAGACATAAAATATCATCCCAAATGCTGGAACCAGGTACTTCGCACAACCCTGCATCATCCAAACTGTCCCCCACTGAAGCATCATTACTGTAATACCACATAACTCTATTGGGAACCACTTGAAGCTCTAACAAAAGGGCTCTACCATTGCAAAATAAGATATACTCCTGTTTACAAACACACGCACAATAAAAAATTCTACTCAGTTATGGGTTGAGAAAGACAATAAAAGACTAAGTTACTGCAAATAAAATGAGAGAGAGAAATTAACGGAGCAATCTTTTTCAAACAACAGTGAAACTTCTTCCATTCTAAAAGCAAGCCAATACTCACCCATCAAGTAATGGTAAACCTTAAACTAAAAAGTCAGCCATCAAGCAATTCATGTAGAAGTTGGAATCAAATGCTCAGCCAAGAGCTTTGAATAATCAATGTGATGTGATAAGCCTCCAGTCAAATGACCAACATCTCAAGAAGGGGATAGAATACCATTATACAAGCTCAAATCAATCTATAACTCACTGGAAAACTTCTAGCATTTCCAATATCTCATTTCATTATGTGAATAATAAAAAGGAAAATCCTGCTACAATAATGTTCATGGAAGAGAGAACTTTTACTTCTATAAAGCTCCCCTCTGATTCTGTAAAGATGCTAGTGCTCTTCCATCGCTCACCAATTAGCTTGTTTAGGTCGTCCGAAGGAAGAGATCTCAGATATTGACCATTCATCCACCTTCGATGTTAAGAAATAAGTTCAATGGAATCAATCAAATGCAATAATACTCAGCAAGCATAATTATTAGATTAACAAAAATGACATTACTATGACGAAAGGTGTAAAACTAACAATGAATCCCAGAATTCGATATAAGTGGCTGCAGCTATATTGAATTACAAGTGCAATAAAGAATTTTTAATTATGTAATGTCTATAAATGCCATACTTACCTTAACTTTGCTGAATCAAAAATAGCTCCACTTTTGTTAACACGCTCAATTGTGAACTTTTCAACTACAAACCATGATAGATTTTGAAGTCATTACATTAATGGAACATAAATACATCTATCAGCTTAAGCTACAAGAAGCATTACATGTATAACACAGATTTAGGAAACTAACCAAGTTAGTCAAGTGTAAAAAACTCATTCTCAGTACCATCACCCCATCCCAATAATGCAAGATAGTTAACCATAGCCTCAGGTAAAAATCCCATATCCCTGAACTATCAAGTGGAAATATTACAAATGATATTAGTCCTGGATAAGGAGAAAAAGTAATCGATGGGATATTGAAATAAAGTGATAACAATCCAGTAACATGGATATATATATTTCCTACTGTTATTTTTTATGAATCAGAGATGTATTTCTACTTAGATAAGTTGAAAACAAGACCTATTTTAAAGGGAAACAGAAATAATAGTGTGATTGATTACCTGGCCCACTGAAGTTGCACCATGCCTTTTCGAAAGTTTGCTCCGATTAGGTGCGAGAATCAAAGAAACATGTGCAAAGCAAGGCATTGCGAATCCAAGCGCCTGGTTTAAAGTAACAAATGTATTTGCGCAATACACATGGCCAATAGAAATTACTTGCGCAATACAAATGCACAACTCAACTCAAATGAAGAGGAAAGACACAGTACTTTATATATCAAAGCTTGCCTCAGAGTATTTGGCAAATGTTCCTCCGCTCTGAAATAGAAATGTAAGTTAAAGAGCAAGTTCATGAAAAGTAAAAAACATATAAACAGGGAAAGAGAAACAGCATTTACATCAGCCAATTGTTTCTATTGGCAAAATTTGGAAGTACGGCCATGCTTTACCTTATAAAATGTGAGATAGCCATGGTAGCATCATCAACAGATACACAAAAATTGTAAACAGGTTGCCCATTACTTCTCATAATCACAAAATCTCCAAGTGTGTCCAATTTTCAACTTACCTTCAATCCACTATCAGACAATTAGTAGCCAATAAATAAGGCACGATGTCAAAAACTGTCACAAGGATCAAGCAATTTAGGCTGGAAAACAAATTAGCGCCANGCAATTTAGGCTGGAAAACAAATTAGCGCCACGTAGAAAGTCTGCATTTCATTTCGACACCTTAATCATTATTAAGGGACAGATATATATACACATTTCTCTCCTACAACTAAACATAAAGATACATGATTAAGCCTACAATTAAGCCTATAAATCCCAAATATGAAAAACCAAAGTTCTTTATTAATAACTCCACAACTTAGGATAAATAACATGTACTCAACAACCATAACATTCCATAAACAAATGACCAAAGACAACAACAAGAACACCCTCAAGATCAAAAATTTACCTAAAACCCCAGATATCAAACCCAAAAGATAACCCAAAATGCAGTATTGCTAGAAATTAATACAAACTTAACAATTAGATGGGAATGGGACATCACCTAACAATACAAACTTAATATGGAAAAAATGAAATTAGCCGGTGTTTAAAGACAAATTAAATAAGTATTCACAAAACCAAATGTGGCAAATCAAAATTTAAAGCTTTC